GGGGCACAGTTTTGGCCCAGAAGCATCAAGTTCCTGCCTTTAAAACTGAAAACGCAGGGGCCTCGCCCTTAGAGTTTGTGGATTGCAAACTGCCATGGTGGTGGAAAGAACCACCAAATCACAGTTGTCTTACGGCGACCCCCGTAGGGTTTCCAAGGCGACATTCAGCGGTGGTTTGCCATTGCCGGCCTCCATGTAATGACCCTGGTATTCCTTGGAGGTCTCCCATACAAATATTAGCCAGGGCCAGCCCTGCCCAGCTTCTGAGATCTGACAAGACTGGGCTAGCCTGGGCTATCCAGGTCAGGGCACAAACTTCCATAATAATATAGACTTGTTCTTGGTGGGTGTTGCAGCTGAAGATTTGCTATGGCTTTGAATGTAATCACATGGCAGCTTCTTGTTCTCCTTTATGGACCAGGGGAGCCCATACCTAGGAGTGCAATAATTGTGCCTGGAGGAAGCAGGTCCCCTTTCCTCAGAGCCAGTTTGGTGTAGTGGTTAAGAGTGGCGGACTCTAATCTGGAGAACCGGGTTTGATTCCTTACTCCTCCACATGCAGCCAGCTGGCTGACCTTGGGTCAGGCACAGTTCTCTCAGAGGTGGTCTCTCAAGTACAGTTCTGGGAAATGCTCTCTCAGCCCCACCTACCTCGCAGGGTTGTGGGGAGGGGAAGGGAAGGAGATTGTAAGGTTCTCTGAGACTACGAGTGAAGGGCGAGGGATAAATCCAACTCTTCTCCTCCTCCTCCTCCTCCTCATTTGCAGACAAGGCCAGTCCTGCAGGATCTACAACTAGGTCTCCATTTTTTTGGTTCTATTGCTGACTGTGTTGCTCACAGAGAATAAAAAAGTCCAGTGTGGACTACAGTCCTGTATACTGCAGGGCCTGGGTATGTTTCAAAGAGCCGTATGGACATAGCCTTAGAGCATACTTGGTAAAAAGACACTTGCCTGATTGCTAGTAGCAAGTAGGGCTTTCCTCCAGGTGACATAAGGACATGTTTTTTTCAGGAGTTGCTGAACACCAGAGTGTTCTTTCTGTCCCCATTTAACTTCTCACCTGAGTTTTGGTATAGTACAAGTAAGGCCGGCAGGTTGCTCATAGCAAAATGGACTACTGTAAACAGTATGTACACTAATCCTTATGTGAAGGGTAACACACAACAAAATATATTTGTTGGCTAAAATTAACCCTGTAAACTGCCACGGGGTGCCTAGCTCTTTAAAATGTAAATAGCCAGTGATCTAAACCTTCTGGATTTTGATGGGACTTGCGTTCAAGTAAGTACATATGTAGGATTGCAACAAGACAATTCTTTGTGTACACAAGATTTTTTAAAAAATGTATTAGTTGACATATCAACTTAAGGACAAATACCATAAGTTTGTTGTTGACCCCACAGAGATCTTCTTGATTATTTCCTGTTTGCTTAGCTTATACAAGACAGTTGATGATGAACGATATGACTGGGAACTGGCAGATATAGCGGCTGGGTGGGCAGGAACAACCCAGCTCATACGCTGGAGAATGCGAACTTTGCTTAATGGTGGTGTTTTCTGGTGTTTTTTTTTTTTAAACGTATCCTGCTGTTTGGTAACAGTGAGATTGCTTTGTTTTGGCGGAAGGGAATATTACAATTTTTCATGAGTATGGAGCAATGTTCCCCCTAAGTTGTGGGGTCTTGTGAGCAAAAATTCTACTTTGTGAGCTACTGGCATTAAAGTTGTGAGCAAGCGATATGGCTACTGCATAAATTAGCTTGCTCTAGAGCCATCCTTCCTGAGCTAAGACAAAAAATATGTGAGCCGGAGGGTGAAAATCTGTGAGCTAGCTCACACTAACTCAGTTTAGAGGGAACACTGGTATGGAGACTACCAATATGCACTCTTCCTCATTATATAGGGTTGCCAGCTCTGGGCTGGGTACCTGAAGATTTTAGGGGTGGATCCGGGAGAGGGCGGGGTTTGGGGAGGGGAGGGACCTCAGTGGGGTATAATGACATAGAGTCCATCCACCTTCCAAGGCAGCCATTTTCTCCAGGGGAACTGATCTTGGTCACCTGGAGGTCAACTGTAATAGTGGGACGTCTCCAGGTGCCACCTGGAGGTTGGCAGCCCTACTTAATAGCCTTCTTGTCATCATACCAGAGAGTGGCGTTCAATCCCCTGCTGAAGGGGGTCTCCTTTTTAGTGCTGGGACCATAGTTCAGTGGCAGAGCACATGTTCTCCATGGAGAAAGTGCCCGGTTCGATCCCTGGCGTCTCCAGTTGAAAGATAGCAAGCCTGAGACAAAAAGGCCCTGCTAGGAAGCTTGGCGAGGGAGTACCAGTAGGGCACTGAGGCTGATTCTGCAGTGGCTTTTCCCTCCGTTGTTTTTGGAAACCCGCGTTGGAATAGAAATTCCTCTCTGGATTGCATGCTGCTTTCACTTCTTCTGATCATCGGATTTTATGGTAGCCTCCACACTCCATGCCACTTTCACTTCCTTTGATCATCGGATTTTATGGTAGCCTCCACACTCCATGCCGCTTTGCTTCCTTTCATCATCGGATTTTATTGTACCTTCTGTGTAGATTTATGGCTATTTCATGGCCATTCAGGGGTGACTTTGCAGTCAGTACAGCGTTGCCCTGAGGTATTTGAATGTGGTTTTGAGCTGCACTTTTTCCTCCCAGCTGAGAAAATATGGAGTGAATGCTAGATGCAGAATCACCCTGAGTTTTAGATGGACCAGTGGTTTGACTCAGCTGAAAGTGGCTTCATGTGTGTTTTTCATGGGGGGGGGGGGCAGGCAACCCTGCTGCATAGCTCTGATTTACTGATTACAGAGCCAGTTTGGCTAGTGGTTAAGTGTGCCTACTCTAATCTGGGAGAACCAGGTTTGATTCCCCACTCCTCCACTTGCACCTGGCTGGATGACCAGACCTTGTAGTTTTGGCACAGCTGTTCTTGAAAAAAAGAGCAGTTTCTGTCAAGAGCTCCCTCAGCCCCACCTACCTCACAGGGTGTCTGTTGTGGGGAGGGGAAGGGGAAGGAATTTGTAAACCACTCCGAGACTGAGTGAAGGGCGGGGTATAACTCCAATCTCTTCTTCGCCTTCTGTATTTTCCTCGTATGGGAGATCCACTTATGATTTCTGAAAGCCGACTTTGTCTCCTAGGAACTGGCTGGGGAAAGGATTTAATTCCAAATATTTATTTACTCCTCGTGCCCCCTCGCTGGCTTTGTTTTAATGGCTGTGTGCGCCTCGGCTTCAGGCGCAAGTCCCAGGGGGGCAGCAGCCTTTTGTCTGCGGATGAAGGAGAAAAACAAACGCGCGCGGGCTCTCCCTTCGCCATTAATCACTTTTCGCGTCACGTGCCGCGTATGAATGAGATGTCTTATGAAGCTAATTCCCTTTGTGCCGCCTGCAAAGCGCAGCCCTGCCGCGGCGGAGGCACCCGGCCAGCCAGAGCGGCGGAGTTGAAAAGGAAGCCCTGGCGGGCGGCTTTCGGTGCCATTCACTCTCGGAGCAGATCACAAGCCCACCGTCCCTGGGAAGCGCGGCCGGGATGTGCAGCCGCCGCTTGGCTGAGCACGGCGACAGCCTTTGACGACATGATTCCTTCCGAGAGCCACGTTGAGCCTCTTGTCAGGCGGGGGGAGGAGGGGACGCAACATTTGGCCCAACAACTCCCTTGCTTGGTTTCCTCTGCCCTGCTTGGTTTGTAGCTAGAAAGAGGATTTTATTTTCTTTTTAAAAAAGAAACGTCAGTATTGTTATTTTATTTTTTTAAAGTCTCTGTTAGAAAAATCTCATTACTTACCTTTATGGCGTTCTTGGTAGCCGATGACGAATTTACATTAGTCCCAATTATCTCCTCAATGATTTAGATTGTTTTGATTTTTTAAAAAATCAGCAGGTTAAATTGGGGATTTACATTCTCACGTTTCACTAATGGTAACCACTATAACTAATCTTGAATATAAAACATTTTGACTCACCAGCTGATTTTATACGCCTCCCCCAACAGCCCTGTGATATAGAGTTGCCAGCCTCCAGGTGGTGCCTGGAGATCTCTGGAGAAAGTGGCAGCTTTGGAAGGGGGGCGGGATGACATTATACCTGTTGAGCGCCCTGCCTTCCCCCAACTCCACCCTCCCCAGGCTACGCCCACACAAATCTACAGGTATTTTTCACTCAGACTTGGGAACCCTACCTATGAAGCAAGTTACATTAAAAAACAGCTGACCAGGTCACGCTCAAATGTCCCCAGGTATGCATGGATATATCCTGCACAGAAGTTGTTTCAACGGAAAGGAGCCAGTTTATGCACACAGTGATTTGGGTATGCAGCTCAGGTCCTTTTTTATTTATAAAATTTGTATGCCGCTTTCTCCAGACTTGCTGGAGATGCTCATAGCAATCAAAGAAAACAAAACACAAAAGAACCCAGGGATAAAAAAAGTCCAAGTCAATAATTAGAAACATGCCAATAAATGCAAGCCAGGGCGTAATAAGTATACAAAACAGAGCGGTCTAAAATGATAATGATAAAAGTTAGACTAGGTGTAGGCAATAAAACCGCTAAGAAGACAGACCCTCTTAGTTATAAGTCCTGACAAAAAGAGAAATAAAGGGTAGTAAAAGGTGCCAGGTGAGACTCAAGGGGGAGGGCGTTCCTAAAGTGAAGAGCCACCACTGAAAAAGCCCTGTCTCTGGTCACCACATGCCTTATCTCTGCAGCTGTGGGCACAGAGAGCAGGGCTTTGGGAGAGAATCTCAGTTGGCAGGCTGAGCACACAAGAGAATGGAGACCCTTATTGTGTAAGAGATCCATGTACACAGTGAGGTGCACACAGATCCCTATACTGTGGTGGGTGACTCTCTTAAAGTCCCTCTGTCAATTTAGTGTCTCCCTCCAACCCCAGTAATGTCTCTGTTGCATCAAAATCGCCTATTCCCTGCTAATATGCAATTGTCACAAAAAAGAAAAAGGAAGTCCGAGAAATCTCACCACAGCTTCTGTAAGATATCTCCAAATGGTTGTCCTTGCAAATGGTGTGTGTAGGCCATCCGGTGCTGGAATAAATCAGCAAAAAGATGAGAGGAGGCACTTTAAGCATCTTCATGTGTGCGAGATTGTCTGTGTCACTGCTCTCCTCCTTCATAATCGGGGCCTGAAGGCTGGGGTTGTCCACTTCCTTCTTGCAGTGAATGTGAAACCCTCAACTTCCTGTGCAAGTGTTAGACCAATTCAAGCTCATGCCTTGAGGAAGAGGCTGAGAGCAACAGTGGTGCTTCTCTCTTAAGATTACTGCTTTCTGTTTCAGAGCAGTTTGCGTTAATACTGAAGGATCTAAGAGTGCTTCACTGGCAGCTTCCACGTGGAGAAGCTTAGCAGCATATTTGAGCCTGAACATTTACTGAGCTCAGCATCCTATCTGAATGTAGTATTCCTTATGACTTGTTGTCAAGCACTTCATGAAACAGAGAGCTTTTGTACTACTCTAATATCTCCTGAGGAAGATCCAATTTTGAAACGTTGTTATATAATCCGGAGACGACATTGATTATGTACCTATGCACAAGGATTTCCTTATGATTTATTAATGATGTTGTAGTGCTTTAGATTGTAATACACAGGAAGCTTTTTCTTTGCAAGTCTTGGTGACTGCTTGATTTGTGGGTCAGACTCTCATGACTGTTGTCTTTATTGGAAAAATAGTCAAAAATGCTTAAATTTGAACAATGGATCTTGCTTCACTGAATGAGACTTTCTTTCTGTTTAAAAAACTTTATTTCTAAGGGTAAAGGGTATACTGAAGGAGCTGCGGTGGCTCAAGTAGTTAAGCACCTGAACTGCAGGCTGTGGAAGGTCAGTAGTTCAGCAGTTCGAGACCCGGGTGCCGCATGATGGAGTGAGCTCCCATCTCTAGATCCAGCTCCTGCCAACCTAGCAGTTCGAAAGCAAGAAATTGCAAGTAAATAAATAGGTACCACTTCGGTGGGAGGGTAACAGCGTTCTGTGCGCCTTGGTGTTTAGTCATGCTGGCCACATGACCACGGAAACGTCTTCGGACAGCGATGGCTCTTCGGCTTTGAAACGGAGATGAGCACCGCAACCCTAGAGTCGGATTCGACTGGCTTTTGAGCAAGGGAACCTTTACCTTTAAAGGGTATACAGGAAAACTACAAATAAACAAAACATCTAAGAGCTACATTTCTGCTGCTTACTTCTCAAAGCATAGTCACGCACTTCTCAAGCAATGGTGGACAAACACCTTCTTCTCGACCCCTAGAAAGGAAGTCACCTGAAAACAGTAACCAATCATTGTTTGTAAGCACACTCAGATTTGCCAGCTTTTTCCACATTGGCTGCCTGCCAGGTTTTCCTTCCAGGTCATTCTAAACAATAGCATAGAAAGGTAAACAAGTTAACCCTATAACGGCTGGAATCTGAGACCTTGCAAACACATATACATTTCCAACATTTATACGTATTTCTTTATCAAACAAATAAAAGTGACTTAAAAAAAAGAAAAAGGAACCCTGCCTGCAGCCACCCCACATTTCCCTTTTAAACAGGTGAGGAGTGGAAGTCCCAGGAGCCTGACAAGTTGTGCTCAGAAAGAGCACAACATTGTGTGGAAGCTCCCAGAAATGTGTGTGTGTGTGTGTGTGGGGGATGCTATTCTCCTTGTGAGGAAAAATCCTCGTTTGGAAACTCACTGAACCCTTCCTGAACCAGTACTTCTTTGCAGGGCCAACTCTACACTCAGTGGAGGAGACCCAGGTCAGGGAACTTTTTGTCTCTATAGGATGTGTGTTTCGAGCCCAAGTTACCCATTTCATTTCAGTGGAACTACTTGAAAAACAGGGAGTTGTCAGACTAGTGCAGAACTGTGAGCTGACTAAAGTCATCAACCAAGGTACTGATGCTGGGGGCCATATCAACATCCCACTGGGCTTTAATACTTTACTGCTAAATGCCAAAGATAGATCAAGATGTATCTGAGTTTTCATTTTTTTAAATAAAATAAAAAAAAAGATGTATCTGAGGAAGTGAGCAGTGACTCACGAAAGCTCCTACTGAGGAAGTGAGCCAGTTTGGTGTAGTGGTTAAGTGCGCGGACTCTAATCTGGGAGAACCGGGTTTGATTCCCCACTCCTCCACTTGCACCTGGCTGGATGACCTTGGGCAAGCCGTAGTTCTGATAAGAGCTGTTCTTGAAAAAGGGCAGTTTCTGTCAGAGGTCTCTCAGCCCCACCTACCTCACAGGGTGTCTGTTGTGGAGAGGGGGAGGGAAAGGAGTTTGTAAGCCGCTCTGAGACACCTTTGGATAGTGAAGGGCGGGGTATAAATCCAATCTCTTCTTCTTCTTTCTACCCTGCCACATATTTTATTAGTCTTTAAGGTGCTACAGGTCTCTTGGTCTTTTAAACGCCAGGCTGGTTACAGGTAAAGCTGCAGCCATCCAGGATTTAATTCTGGATTGAGAGAGCTGACCTGGCATGTATTACTGAGATCTGGGCTGGAGGACAGGGGAGGAGTTAACCTCTCCCAGCTATGCCCCCCCCCATGCACTCAGTAATGCGTCAGCATAGGCTCAGCATTGGGATTCTATTCCCCTGGCTTGATCACCTGTCCGGGTTTGAGACTCTGCATCTAGTGCTGTGAATGAGAGACAGGATGGGTGTTCTTTTGGTCTACCACCCACCCCGCTGCACAACTATCTCCCTGCCTGAGGTTGATGCAATGGAGACTGTAAAAAATTCCCTTTTAGTAGTCTTCACTGCCATCTCAACAGTTTTCGCTTTTCATAAATGACCCATAGGATGTTCTTGCAGTTTCATCACAAGACCATCGCCAAACTCGCTCCAGCTGTCTAAGTTACTGCCTTCACCCCCCTAAGCTCCATGGTATACCATGGGCATAGTTTGGGGCGGGAGCAAAGAGGGCATTGGGGAGCAATTTCATCAATGGTTTCAGAGAGATGGGCATTCCAGTCTTCTATCAACACATCCAATGAATCTCTGGGAGGCATCGAATCCCGCAGAGCATTCTGGAAACAGATTGGATCCATTAGTCTCTGTGGGCAAGCATAAATCAGCTCACTGCCTAGAAAGGGGGAGGGGGGGCTGGGATATTCAGCTGGGCCTTCAAGGCGTAATGATCTGACATGGCATCCTATCAATGGCAATCAGATCCATATTTTTCCCCATGCCAAACATCAAATCCAGTGTGTGGCCTGCTTGATGTGTGGGACCTGATACAGTCTGGGAGAGTCCCAGCACTGCCGTGGAAGACACCAGGTCCATAGCCTGTCCAGAGGTGGCTACGTCAGCATAGATGTTGAAGTCCCCAAGGATTACTAATCTTGGGAAATCTAGGGCCCAGCCCACCACCATCTCTAGCAGGCTTGGTAGGCGATCTGCTGGTGTACTAGGCAGTTGGTACACCAGCCAGCCAGCCAGCCAGCCAGCCAGCCAGCCAGCCAGACTCTCCTCAGCATCTCTCACCAGGCCAACACAATCAATACCAGAGATCTTTGGAGCGGGGAGTGCCCTGAAGAAAAACTACTCTCAGATGAGTATCACCCCCCCCACCATTTTGTCCGAGACTGATGGAGGACTGAGAAACCTGGAGGGGCTAGCTCCTTCAAGGTGACTGTCTCGCCCTCCCTGGCCCAGTTCTCGGTCATGCATGCCAGGTCCATGTATTGCTCCGCAAAATAATTTTGCAGGGTCATGGTCTTGTTATTAATGGACCTGGCATTGCAGAACATCAGTGTTGGAGCAGGGTTTCCTTTCCTTGCCTCGCCACCAATTTGCCTCAGGAATGTTCCCTCTAAGCTGTGGGGTCTTGTGAGCAAAAATTCTACTTTGTGAGCTTCTGGCATTAAAGTGGTGAGTGAGCAATTTGGCTACTGCATAAATTAGTTTGCTCTGGAGCCATCCTTTCTGAGTTAAGACAAAAATGTGTGAGCTGGAGGCTAAAAAACTGTGAGCTAGCTCACACTAACTCAGCTTAGCGAGAACACTGCTCAGGATGGGACAAAGGTTGCAAGGAGACCAAGCATGTCTATATCTCTGTCTCCTCCCCTCCCAATACCTTGTTCCCCCACCATGAGGCAGGTGAGGCAGAAAGTGTGACAGTAGGCATACAGAAGTTAGACGGGTGTTGATGGCAACGCCTATGCGGGCTCGTATCCACTCAGTGCTGAGAGGGAGTTAAGACTGAAAAATGGGAGGGAGATTATAAGAGGGGATAGATGAATGGCAGATTCAAAGGAAGCGAGCAAAATGGAACAGGAGGAAAGTGTGGAGACCAGTTAGAGAAATGTAGGAAAAGACAATGAAAGGTTTTAAAAAATTATTTTGCTGCCGCACACTAGCAGGGCTGCCCCTTTGCAAAATTTTGTGTAAGAGCTGGGTGGAACGGAAGGAAGAGTAAAACCATAGACTTCTGAAGAGAACAACCTTTTTAGGAGGCTGCATCCTGGAAGTGACTGTCACTTGTCCTGGGTGGTCTTTCCTTCCTCCAGGGCTGGCATCCTCCTAGTAAACTTTGCAGAAAGGGCCAGCCAGCGGAGCTACTGTGCTTTACTGCTCCCCTAGTGGTGGCAGTCAGAACTACACCAGGGGAAAATTAAATGCATTCCATGAATACACCATGCAGCTGGCTTCAAGAGCCCTCCAGCTGACTTGGGCCCCCAGAATTTTGTCCCTCCTCTCAGTGCCAGAAGGTTGTCAATCTGGGCTGTATAATGTGAACCTCCTGTGCATAGGTAGCACAGCTTGGGAATGGTTCTGAGCCATGCCAGGTCTGACCTTACATGTGCAGAAGCCCCTCCCCTTATGTGCCCTGAAGAGCTCTGCACCCTGCTGAGCAATATCTGCTGGTAGTCCCCAGCCCGAAAGGTGTCCGCTTAGCCTCAACCAGGTCCAGGGCATTTTCTGTCCTGGCCCCAGCCTGGTGGAACATGCTCCCACTCGAGATCAGGGCCCTGTGAGACTGCAAGACTGAGCTGTTTAGCCAGGCCTTTGGTTGAGGTGGCAGACACCTGAAGTTCTTGGCTTTCCTGCCTACACTGCCCAGGTGAACTACCCTCAAGAACCATCCTGGCATCTGCGGAATGGGATCTGTTATTAGTCTTCATATGGCCTGCGCTAGTGGGAGGCATTGG